AGCCGGGCCGAGTTAATTAAGAGGTGGTAACGCATCTGCAACCCTTGCAAATGTCCATAGCCGCCTGTTATCGCTTAACATCAGGTGAACCGCCAGCTAGCTAGGCACCTTCTCACATAAAAAAGTAGGGCTATAAACAGTAAAAAACTCACTCTGCATGATACAAACATCTCAACTACAACATCCGAAAATGTACTTTATACTAAACAAAACAAGAGTTATACTCTGTTCGCCGGGCAGGCGGAACGGGCGAAATGCAAACGGTTCGTGGGGCGCGGGTCTTGTGCACGCGGAAGATAACTTAAGAGGGCCCTCAAAGTCTGGCGAGCGGCCATTCGCGGTGTTCCGCATTGCTCATTAGCCCGCACATTAATTTGCGGGACAGCTCTTCGTATGCATAGACAAGCGTGTCCCCGATGACGGAGGGCGCTAAGTAGGGCTGCCACATGACCGGCCGACTACAAGGGTTCAATGGTGTTCATATTCGGCGGTTATGCTGGAGCAGTAACGCCGTATGTCACACAACGTTTGGCAACACGATTTATTTCACTGTGGCAGGGACTGTTGCACGAATGGGCAGGCTCGTCCGGGTAAGTGCCTCGTAGAAGACAGGCGTAAAGTGGAAGTATGCATTATACTTTAGCGTTTCGTCTGGTGGACGGTGGAGCCGTGGCCCATTTTTTCTGCGACCCGTAATCCGTAATCAATTAACCTCAGGTTCTCCACATACAAGAAATTGCGCCTTTATAGAAAGGAAAAAAACATACTAAATATATTAAACCGTTACTTGACGATTAACTAATGATAAATTTACAAGAGACGATATAGTGAAGTATATTTAATTAATCAGCAATATTAGATAGGGAATACAAACAAAAATAAGTCGTAAATACTTTTTAATCTATTTTAAACAATCATTTAACATTGGCGTTAAGCGCCAACCCTACGGCTAGTGCCGTCGGATAAGACGCGTTTAACTGTAAAGCACTGATTACTAACACGTTCAAAGAATGTCGTACATGGGAATCACATTATCGCCGTTCCCGGGCTAGCTTTTAGCGGCGGCCTTTCGCCCAGCTCTGGATGTTAACGCGGGCCACGTCAAGGCTTCGGCGCCGTTAACTTTTCTTGACGGGCGACACCTTGTGGCTTCGGTCTAGTCGCGCTTTCGTGAAAAAGTGTGACGTCGTAACAGCTTTGCTTCGACAGAGATTAGGTATAGTCTAGTCTGGCTTTCGTGAAAAACTGTGACGTCGTTACAGTTTCACTTCGACAGAGAAATCGTCTAGTGGTTCAGCTGCGAGGCTTTCGATCTCAGGCCATAGGGTCGAATCGGTGGCATCGCGTTCAAATTTGTCACGTGTTTTAATCTCTCTCACACTTTTGCTTTGCGCAAGAATGAGAACTAAAGGGAGTTAATTCTTTGATACATCACATTGAATAATACTGCAATAAGCAAGTGTTTGTAAACCATTAACGATGGTTGTACGTCCACGATAGTTTTGACGTAATTAAAAAATAAATAAAAAGCACTGCATCGGCTCCAGCGCACTAGATAGTTTGATACAAATTGACGTGCATTTGAGGAGCTGAAGCTGTTATACAAAGTCAGATGAGTCGACACCGCGTCCGTGGCTGAGAGGCGGTATTGCGGCCTATGGGTTTATAGATAAGGCGAAGCATCCCGTCAAAGATCCTTGCTAACTCCATTAGCCGTGACTTACAAAGTCTGAGCACTTAGATTCAGTAGCCCTTCAACTTTCTCGTTAATCTTCGTTTATTTGTCGCTTAGATTACGCACTGTTGCCGTTTGAATAAAAGTATTACTTCGCCCGCGTCGATTGTGCATTGCTAAGTGGACGGATTTAAATGATGTAAAATACACTTTTTCGTTTGGATAAAGTCAAAAGCGATGTCCTAAAAAAGGGGAAATTTGTAACATTCTGGTCTATTAATTTATTTATATTTATTCATACACTAATTCATATTATTGCTTTACTGCTGAAGGACAGTTTATTTACCTACCACGAAAAGGATAAAATCCGTCGGGAGGAATCAAAAATTTCGAGAAGACTTTGAATTATGTATCTTTTTCAGGCTTTTTCTGATATTCTTCACCTATGCGGGTTTCCTCACAATATTTTCTTTACTGCTAATGCGATACAACAACTGCTTTTATTACATGATAATTTTTTGGGTTACATATAAATTTAACGGTCAACATTCAGACACTGAGCTGTAACCGCGACTCTATGATTATAATCAATGGCTTTAAATTGTTCCGATTTGCAAAGTACATAATTATGAATGGGTGCAAACTGAAATCGACGAAAGAACAAAGCTCCGCATTCTAATCACGTTGATTCCGCAAATCTGGCAAAGATCCGTGCACTAGCTGCTCTCTCAATGTCCTATCACGCGCCTTTCACCGCGTGCTTGATTTGCATCACGCGGTATTCGTGCGTGCGTCGCCATGCGCATGCATTCACGCATTCATGTTCGCGTGTTGCAAAGCGCCGATCCGCCCGAGTTGGTACTGACGCCCTGTCGCTGTGTCGTCGGACGGCCTTTACCCTAAACGGGGCGAATGAATTGCGAGTTATATTATTTAGTCACTGGCCGTACCCCCATTGAATTCATATTTGGCGTAATGGCATGCTCATTTAGAAAGATGACGGGAGAAAGGCGGCAAGCTACACTTCCGCGCGTCCCGTTTAACTTGTTGTTTAGTTCCCATTGACGCTTTACTTGATTTTTAAATTAGTTAACCTGTTTAAGCTGCATGCGACAATAAACGATTATATTATATGACATGTACGGGCGGCCCAGTCACTTGATATATAACAAGTCTGAAACTATATGTCGCCAACGTTTCACAAATGATGCACACTTGACTGTAAGATCTCACTGAAAGGTATCACTTACATTAAAACAGTTTTTTTTAAATTTGTAATCTCAAGTAGCAAAAATTCTTTACGAGAGTCTTTATGCACGAAAACACGAGAAAAAGATACACGATACATATATTTAAATAATTCCAACAAGATTAGAATTTAACCCAAATAATAATGAAAAACGAACAAAAAAACTATGAACAAGGAAAAGGAGATAGGATATTTTTAAGATTTCATGATTTTCATCCTATTTTGAAATAAACATACAAGGTAAATGGAATTGATTATAACGGGAGTTTCAACGCCAGTTTGCCATGTTTTTATAGCCTCGTCGCAGTCCGCCACTGTATACGGGTGTATAAAAATTCGTTTCGAAATCGTTACGCCGCTATGAATATTTATGAATGCAACGGATATATGTGAAAGATTTGATACTGATAAGCGAAGGCGGGAACGGAGCGCGTCGGCCGATTTGGCGATACCTGTTTTTGTTGAGATTGAAAGTTGACGGTTGACAATTTTCGCGATCTTGCTGTGACTATATGTGAAAACGAACATTTTTTTTTTGTATTAATCATTTATAACTTAACACTTCCTTTAGAGAAGCCACAATTTTGACAGGAACAATCGTAAGCAATACAAATAATTTCGACGTAGTGTTGGCTGCTTGCATTTGCAAATGAGTACTTATAATTCTTGAGTCTACTATGAGTAGCTTTTGTATTAATGTAAGTTACATTGAATTACAGTCGTAAATATACAATTCAAGTCTCAGCGATCAGCTGACGTCGCGGGGTCACGATTTCAAATAGAATTTATTTATTTATTCAACGATTTACCTATCCTTGTCTTAATGAGTGTATTTATTCATTCTTTACCCAACTAAATTATTTATTAACTTTCATAGCGAGTATATTGCTAAGAGAGTAAGGCGAGCGTCCGGGCACTGTTTCGAAGTTAAAATCCCGGTGCTAGCAACAATGAAATTGTTAATTTTAATTGCTAACTTATCATGTGCTCAACGATGTTTAATCGTGGAGAAAATAACAAAATTTTCGAAATAGTAAATAAATATTTCTAACATAATATGTGAAGTCCAAGAAGAAGAGCAGTGGGGTCGCGTGGTGGGTTTTGGGACAGTTCCCAATACCCTCTGCACATAGGAGGCCTTTGCCCAGTAGCGGGACGTGTATAGGCCAGTTACTTTACTTTTCTTTTAACTTTTTCATTGCGATATTTTCCAATAATCTTTGAAGGCGGAGACCACGTATCTAATCGGTCTTTACCAATTGAAGGATTGAGAGCCGGGCGGCAGTATTTCCACTAACGAGTCAATTACGGGCTGCGATATAGCATGAGCTTTTCAGTACTCTACCGCTTATGGATTGGAACGGGTTTGAATTCGTAACGAGACTGGTCGTAGAGTAGGTTTGAGCAGTGTGCCAATGGGTTCAGTGATTAATTCTAGTACCTTAGAATACTTAATTGCGAATTTTAAAAGGGTTGTCAACGCATCTGTAGCCCTCGGGTGTGGCAGATGTCTGCTCGTTTGGCAACATTTCACATTAAAAAAAAAGAATTATAATCAAAAAGACCAACAACGGGAATGGTATGAATGATCCATGTTGATAACATGTATGGAATGTTAATGCATGAGTTCGTACTAGTATCTTTTTTACGGCTAATAAATGAAAGTATTTTACGGATTTGATCGCGTTTTTTTTTTTTTCATTTCTAATTCTCATACGTTTCGAACCACTCACGGTGCATTTAATTCGCGTAAAAACAAGAACTTAGTATCTGCTAGTTTTTAATATTTTTCTGTTTTGTGGTCGTAATAAACTCCGATGTATTATGTAAAGCTAAATAATACGAAGCCTTTTACATATAAAGATAAGTTTTATTTTAAATCAACGTAGACCGAAATTTTCCTATCTCTGTTTACGATTAAATACCGCGGTTACATTGCAACTGGTCGGCTGTACTAATTAAGCTGTGACAAAGGAACTAGGTACCAACTAATAAGACGTCGATACTCGACTGCTTCGCGTCGGTGGACTATAAGAGAAAGTAGACTGACTTTTTATAAGCTAGGTTTGTACTCACGTGTTCGTCCAGGGAATACGTCAACTCGCCATCGTCGTACAAAACGAACCACCTCCGCTGCCATCTCTGAAACAACGTAAAGAATCATTAAATATGTATCCATCAATACGAGGTTACCGATTATAATGCATTTATTCCATGGCCGGTGTGTCATTGCATGCGTCAGAGGTGTCTTAACGATGATTGCTTACATTTTTTCTCCCCCGTTACCAGGAATTTGAAGCAAATTAAATTAGTTACACCTTCGCCTTATCAACGCATTTAATATTCAATAACCGTATAAACATTCTTGGATTTTTGAACGTGAAAAATGAAACAATTCAAAGCATCCATATTCTCTATATCGATAGGAATCACTACATAGTATAAAACAAAGTCGTCCGCTGTCTGTCTGTCCCTATGTATGCTTAGATCTTTAAAAGTATCTTGTATCTTGTATTAACTGATGTTTTTGCTTTCAGTCCCGAGACTATTAAAGCTTCATCGGACACAGAACCGGTGGGCTAGCCAGAACCCACGGGTTTGGACCCTCCGCTATGGGTAGGATCGCGCATGTGCTCATGCGTGCATTTAATTATGGTGTGTCATCTAAGGGCCGTCGAGGTCGCGGTTCGGACCGAGACCCCGACGGCCGTCGACTGTGCATTTAGCTAATCGGTGGCTGGGAGCGGTGAAAACCGCCCCGGAACGCGGGTGTACCTTGTGTACGCGTTGTGTGGGTCTCGCCGTGCTCGGAGGCGAGGGCGAACTGGTGTGATTGTTGTTACACTAACTGTGGGTGTAGTGTTATCCGGCGGGACCCCCGGCGGTGGGTCCATCGTATCTAAGTCCTCTTCGTCGACCGGGTCGATGAGGACGTTTCGCGGGCGACGCTTGTTTACGTTCGCGTTAGTGTCCGGTTGGTAGTTTGCTGCGCATACCACCAGAGGGTTGGGATGATGCTGGACTCTATCGAAGAACCGTTTTGTCAAATCTTTAAAATGTGTGCGAATCGTCGGGAGTCTGCAATCGCTGTGCATGTCGACGTTGCGCTGATACCACTGCGCACCGGTTGCGTGGCGGATAAACTTATTTTGTACTATTTGCAACTTGTACAAGCGAGTAGGGTGCGTGTGGGCGAAGATCATGCATGCGTAGGACATAATAGGTCGGCTTTAAAAGTGCGAAACGGATCCTGATGCGGTTTTTTTTATTAGATAGAGTGATTCAAGAGGAAGGTTTATATGTATAATACATTGCAACTGTGAGAAGGGGCGGATCGCCAGTGTACACCTAAATTAAAGAAACCTAAATTAAAGAAGTACAGATTAGTGTTGCATCAGACGCTTAACACCGTCATTCCTTTGTCTAAGCGCATCAACCGTAACTTAGGCAATGTTTGCACGCATTGCCAAGCCATTATCCGACAAATCTCCGCCAGATTGCGCAGCTCTGCCGTCAACTCATTACTTCTAATCACATTTAATGTATGCACAATAATATATGCAACAATGTGAGCTTGAATTTGTGGGTGGCACGACGCGGCAAAGCGCCGCCGCGCAGTCACAAATCCGGAATGAACTTTGCATACAAACGAGGCGCAACAATGAAATTACGCAGGCGTTCATTACGCGTTGGTAACGCTGATTACGGCGGCCGCATTATGCTCAGCTGTGCCCACAGGCGGCGGCTATAAACCCTTAGGTGGGAAAAAAGCGTACCCGAGGGGGTCGGACTCGCACGAAGGGTTCCGTACCATTACTTATAAAAACAGCAAAAAAAAATCATGTCTGTTGTATGGGAGCCTCCGCTTTAATATTTTTTTATTCTGTTTGTTGTTGCAACGGCAACAGAAATACATCAACTGTTAAAATTTTAACCGTCGAACTATCACGGTCATGAGATACAGCCTGGTGACAGACAGACAGACAGACAGCGGAGTCTTAGTAATAGGGTCCCGTTTTACCCTTTGGTTACGGAAACCTAAAAACGGACTCGAGCGAGCGTCGCTGACGAACTGCGGATCCGTACGGTTTATACTGCGAAACAAGAAAAAGAAAGGTGACATGAGAAATTACTTTTAGCCTTCAATAATAAGAAGTCTCGTTCCTTAGTGTTTCGGGTTATTTTTCGTTCCCAAGGTTCACTTAAAGGTTGGCAACGTTTTACAATTGTGCGCATTTAACATTGAAATGTATGAAATGATTTTGCACTGGATAATCTGAAGTGGGTGTATTCAATGTCATACAAATCAAACACGTCGAAACTATCCACGTATTTGGGGTTCTATCCGCACGCGGAACCCTAACAGCGGTGACACTTGTTGGCCTATTTCTGGTTTACCGTCAGACATTCATCACGAACGCGACAATCGAGTCTCAGTGATTATAGTGTGATATTGTATTTCTTTAATAAACATCAATGTCCTCATGTTCACGAGAATCATACTTACTTAAGTGCAATCAATTCGATGCGAAGAGGAATTTAATGAAACTGTAAAAACATTGAGTTGTTAAATACTAATGGTCTCTATTTCTGAACCTGCTAACGAAAAATGGAAAAACGACCCAATGGCGTCGGCGTTATGTAAGTAAAGTAAGTAAATGTTTATAAATTCACCGAATATAATTCGTATGGCAACACTCTACCAGGCCGGCCGCATGCACAAGCATTGTACAATCCTTACTAATATTAAAAACGCGAAAGTTTGTATGTATGGATGGATGTTTGTTACTCTTTCACGCAAATACTACTGAATAGATTTTAATGAAACTTTACAATAACATAGCTTATTCATATTTTATGTATGTATATCTGTCTTTCTGTCTGAATGTTACGCCTTCAGCCTATTCAACGCAGGCGTAGTCGCGGGCAACAGCTAGTAAGAAATTAAATAGAGATTGCAACAATACTGAAGCTCGAGGGGTCGTGGGAAGCGCAAATGTACAGATCACTTAATTGCAGACAATTAAACTGGCAGAAATTGCCGACGGCGATCATCGTTCGTTATTTGGAAGAGTTTCGACTTTCGAAAATTGACTAGCGCTGAGTTCTTGCTCTCGTTCTCTTTTAAAAAGGGACCTCCGAATTTCGCCTTAAAAGGAACACCGATAAAAAATCGATAAAAGTCACCCTTAAAATAAAGGGTGTAAAAGTCGATCGAAATACTTACACGTTATTTTATTTTATCTCTGTGTGGAAAGAGCTTTTGATAAAGTTTCCGACGATATAATTATATACGCAGGCAGTTTCAGACATAACAAAGATTTAGTACAGTATGATCTGATCTAAATGAATTTGAAATGATCGTTAAAATATGTTTATGGAGTGTTCCATAGTAAACTCCATAAGTGGGGCCGAATGGTGGACCATGCCTTTATACAGATATACAGGTATATAGGCTGTTCCTTTACTTTACCATGGAGTTTTACCACCTGGTAAAAGAAGTCTTGTTTCTTCTGATTTTTAGTGGTCGTCCCCACTCATAGACAACGTGACATCAGCAAGAATTGTAGGCAGACGCATTATAAGGTTTCAATTAATTTGTACATAGATTACTAAAAAAGATCAGATGAATTTTAATAGATACATCTTTTCTAAAACTCGTCAGTAGTTGCGCTCTATTGTTTCAAATTGCGCATAGTACATCTCCTTTCTAAAACGAGTGCAAGGAGTCAGTGACACTGTAATCGCGACAATCTACACGTACCAACCAACGCGAGCCGCACTATCAGTTAACATTCTAACACGTTAATTGGAGTGGCATTAATTGTGCTCCGCCGGTGGTGACGGTGATCGTGTTTTGATAGCCATCTCGCTCGCTCCAGTGAAACACGTTGTAATACTGTCCTCGCCAGGTGATTTCGGTTTATTGTGAAAACGAAGACGGACCTGATGTCGTTAAAGCTAAATTACACGCTACTAGTGTGCGAAGCGAACAGGGTCTGGGAAGAAAAATAAATACTCGTCAAAGGTTTGTTAATCTTAGGGAATAGGACAACTGTACTTCGAATAGAAAACAGCAGTTACTATTCAACGCGCGATAACATTAACAACGAAACTTGCTATGAATCGGAATGGTACTCACGTATCTCGATTAAGGGCCAGCTGGGTCAAGAGTTAATGGCGATATAGATTTCCCCGCTCAAGCCCCGCCGGTAATTATTAGCGATAGGGGCGATTTATTGGCGGCGCGGCGGCCGCGGAACGGGCGGCCGATAAACGATTTCGCGAGATCTGCAGCGGCAAGGGGCGACACGATAAAGCTATTAGCGGCCGGGGAGGCGCGGAGAAAAACGTATGACTATATTAGGGTGGAAAGGCACGGCGGCGAAGTGACTGAATTACAGATTGCCGCGATAGCGGGACGGACGCAGATCGCGTGGCCGACACGGGCCCAGGGCTGGTTGGGAGCCGATGGAAACGTTTTTAAACGGCAGGGCTACGGGCAGCTGTTTAAATTGATACAAAGTACCTAAAGAAGGTTTAGTAGTATTTCACTGTTGAACCTCCTTTCGAGTCGAAATTACAGGACGGATTTTCGAACTGAAAGATTTGAAGAGACCAATTTCAATGATTGCACTCTTTCAGTTGCTATAGGATTAAACTTTTGAAAGAAAGCTTATAATGTGTTTACGTAAACGCGAAAGTGAAAATGACGGAGCACATTATTCTGCTAAGCAACTGATACAGTAACAACAGAACACAAAACTTGTGATTCCCAATTCGAATAATCAATTGGAAATATACATGTGTTAAATATCATAATTAATTATGAATTTAAAGTTAAATAAATAAATTATGAATAAATTAAACGAAATTTTATCATACCGTACGGTCGAAGAAAGATAAATGGTATATACCTGAAATAACACTTAAGTGATTATTAAATGAAACTAATACTCGTAGTTTACGGATTTTATCGCGTTTTAATTTTTAATTTCCGACGTTTCGAAATCTTTCCAACGTTCATGTTGACGGGACGGACTCCATGAACTCTGAATGCTTAAATTAAAATGCGATAAAGTCCGTTCATTTATTATGCATAATATTCGCGTAAAGAAAGAAATCGATATGTGAACTTCAACGAAGAAAAATTTCATCGAAGATGAACACAATAGATACAACCTCTATGTTAAGAAGGCTTGCTAAATTTATCAGTTGTCAATGAGTTGCTTAGTAGATTCGAGTTTTATAGTCTCGCGGGTGGTTTGAGCTTTCTGCAAATAAGGAAGGGGGGATTCCCGACAGCCCTGTTGCCGCCTCACATAAATCCGGCGCGATTATGCCTCGTCGATAAACTAAGCGTTCATGTCGAACTAGTTAGCGCTGCTCCCGTCTCGGAAATAAATCGGACGCCGACTATCTATCAGCTGTTCGTAGCACCGCGATAAATTTGTTCTTCGTGACGGAGCGCGATCTGCTCCGGATAGCCAATTGGTAGATGTAACGCGTCGACAAGTGCCGCCGTGAAAAATGTATTATATCGAGACGGAGCAGGAGTTATCGTCGCGATATCTGCTTCACGTGAATATTCAGGTTGTTTATTAAACATCGCGACTCATCAAATGTATGGCGGAATTTGCGAAAAGTTGGGAAGCGAGCGGGTGGCTCACCTGTTAAGTGATCACCATCGCTCATGGGCATCTACAGAACCCAAAGGGATGTAGATGCATCGCCAAACCTTAAAACAAATTGGCCATGGTTATCTCACCAAACGAAACGTGAAAATATAACATTACCACGAAGACCTTCTGTGGCCTTCTGTGCAAGAGCAGACACTGCTATTTAACACTACCGCTATAATATCCATTAGTCACAAGGAGCTAATTTGCGTGAAACTCGCGGTCCGTTCACTCAAACAAGACTTGAGCAGTGGAAAGTCATTTAAATAAACGACGGACGGACAGACAACAGCAAACAGACGTTGGAAGCGTTGCGCAGATAGGGAATTAGAAATTAATAATAAATCGTTCCGCCCATCGGGGACAATCGGACGGAGAACGGACCTCCGTGGGTCCATTTATCTAACTCTGTCATTGTACGTGGAAACGCTTCGGCTGGTATTTTACAAAGGCGCGGAGATCGCGAGGGCTTCGCCTACTCCGGGACCAGTCTTGTAAAATTTATTCAACGGTTGCTAAATAAGTAGGCAGTTGCACGCCAAGCAGGATGTGACTGGACAAGAATTAAGTGCAATATGCTCCATTCGTATGCGATAAAAGCAATTTCCAAGTATGAGCCGCTTCATCACTTACGTACGTTTCTATTACGCGCAAACCACAATTAATTGTCAGTCGTATATTATTGATTAAAATAAGGTTCAATATGAGATAATTGTATTCTTTTACGACCCGATTAGCATATAGTGAATCTGCCTCACGCGCCAAAAGCTGTGGGTTCGATCCCCACATTTTCAACAATATTGTGAGTTGATATTGTTGCAAATGTGGGGATATTATATAATATTGTGTTTCCTATTGTCTGTGTATTTTCATATCTATAGCATGCGTTGATTTACAAAAGCAAATTATGTTTAAGTGTCTTTATCAATTATCTAGTACCAGTATCATCATCGCTTAGTTTGTGAGCTGTGTGTGTTGTGATTATGGTAGTGCCCAATGTCCAGGAATGTTGATCGCTGTGATACATCAATCGACGGTGCGGTCTTTTGGAATTAGCACGGCGCTCGTAAATCGAAATTGGGCGCGAGACCCCAGCCAGAGGCCGCTCCTAACGCATTCCGAAGTCTGCTGACAACTGTCGCAGATGGCTGTTAGGGGAAAGTCGGCCGGCCGCCTAATGGGCGCGGTTGGGCCGATGCGGTGGCCCGATAAGATGCCTAGCGGCCCGGCGAGGCACCGGCGGTCGCAGTGTCCGGACATGCCTTACGATAGGATTGGTCTCCAGCGGACAGGGAACGTTTGGCGAGTATCATGCGCCTGACTGCGGGTAAATCGCGAGCCGAAACTAACAAGGCCAACTGTAAACCCAGCGGTTGTTGCGACATCGCGCGATTCATAGGCTAAGATCCCGTAGGCGAGTGTGAAAAGGAGCTAAATTCTTCATCCAAGAGATGATTACTTACACATTTTAAAGAGGGATGAGTGACACGTGATGCGTAATTCAAATATTTCCTTTGAAGTGAAGAGAAAGAAAAGATGTATGAACGGAGGATCGAGTAAAGAAGATTAGAAAAAAGTGCAAGCTGCGCTGATGATTGATATATGGAAGGTGAATAAACTACCACCGAAGAACTGGTAAGAGCTGTGGTTGTTATTTTTTTTAAGGTTTAAAAGTAGATATACAAAATTATTTAAGTAAAAAATCAGCAGAAGCAAGGGGTCTTGCGTAAAGCAAGAGTCATTGCCACACATCCTTGTCCTCAATATGTTTCTATAGGGTAGCTATTTTTACAAAATGTCTGAAATTGTTTACACTCAGTTTCTTTTTGGATGTCACCTATTTTATTATACACTAGCGACCCTTCCCGGCTTCGCACGGTTGCAATGTATTATACATATGAACCTTCCTCTTGAATCACTCTATCTGGTAAAAAAAACCGCATCAAGATCCGTTGTGTAGTTTTAAAGATCTAAGCATACGTAGGGACAGACAGACAGGGGCACGACTTTGTTTTATACTATGTAGTGATGCACAGCAAAGAGACGTTTACGTTTCAAGTGACATTTTACCACAGTCAATCAATTGTTTTGCCTTCCCGGAACCCCTCCACTAACGCTTAAACTTTATGGTATGGTATTAAAGTTCAAATTGACTTTTAAGTAATGTTGCGAATCTTTTGTATATAGAAAAGTGTTGTTTTTAGACTTTTTCAGGCAATATTTTAATTTTTTCTCTCCGTAAGAACCATTTTCCTACTTCAAGGAATGTTATAAAAAAAGAATTAAAAAGGGAAATAGGGGTTTATTTTTATACATATAGATATACGTTAATACAACTACCAAGAAACGGCTTTCTTGCAAAGACGAGTAACATTATCTCAGCTGGAAATTTTAACTCGTTATAACGCGTCGCAATGAGCACGTGCGTGATAGAGTCTGTTCGATTGCAAATGCCGACAGCCGATCGCTGCCCGCGATTAGTCGAATTCCTCTAATGTTATGTAGAGCGTTTCTTGCCCGTGCCCCCGCTATTTAGACACATCCGCCGGCGCCTTTATCGTGCCCGCCTTCTTCTTTTTGGACAATCACTGCGCGCTCAATTAGTGCCAATGACGTATTGATATTTTGCCGGTCGTTACGAGTAATGAGATCCTTAAGAGGTGCGCCGATATGATCGGAATCGGCTGGATTAGGCGCCGTACCTAAGTTTGGTGTCTCAAAAATTGATTGGTTGGATTTTCAAGTATTCGCTCTGTTCCGTATTATCCCCAAAGTCAGATATTTAATAATTTTATTCCATAATGAAAACAAAATACTTGTGATCAAAGAAGTACCTCAGGGTTGGTAAATCCTGGAGTGTAGCTTATATCACGACATGCCCCCTAAAGTTTCCATTACTGATCAGGTACGTACATATTCATACGTGAATGGTAGGGCGAATCCAATTTGTAACAAATATTTCGAAAAGCGACTCGTTTGTACTATAATCGTTTATGATACAGCCTACAGCAGGCCTATCTGCTAACACGAGTCGCGACGAGCGTTTCCGAGATAGAACGGCCTATTGTTGGATTTTTCACAGCGCACCGTTTAGCTGACGCGGAATTGAGTCTTCGGCCGATAGCGTGGAAGAAACGAAAGCGGCTATCAAGAAAAACGAGAGTTAATTGTTTCGATTGTAATCTGTGGCAGAAGAGTGATATATGTGGGAGACTCATTGGGTCGCGTTCACTTTTGTTTGCGTAATAACTATGGTTGTTTTACTATTCCTATCCGTTATACGGAAAGGGAAATGTTTATGGTGTAGATGTGATCGTGAAAATAAAAGATATTTTCATTATCTCTATTTGATACAAAAAAAAATATTGTTTACACCTCAAATTAAAGATAAACAAAAGAAAAACTTAATGCTAAAAATCATTCTCTTTCTGTCCAACAATGGGAGTAATGAAAATTTGACGTAAATGCAAAACAAAAATACGTGCAAATCATTGTCTCGCAAAGACTTTCTGTTCGGGTTATTATATTATAATGTTATTTTAGATTAGCGTTTAAAGCCACTGAGCGCGAATCCGGAAGTTGTCCGGAAGTAATTTGTAATGATAACAAAACCGTTTAACAGTTTTCTTTATGCAGTTATTTCTAAATTCATTTTTGTTGTCGGTAAGTGTCGTTTAAACAATGGACCACGTGCGCCTCGCCGCCTCCGTTACATAACCATGTTCCACGGCTGACGGTTACCGGGGAATTTGCACGTGGCTTTTCGCAACAGCAAGCAAGACCGGGCGAGTGAAGCGTCCTATAAGTATTGATATTAAAATATGCTTAAGTAGTGATTGTTAAGTTTCCTTAAACTTAATATAATTATATAAAAAAGTTATGTTTGCACGAGCCCTAGCTTAATACTTATCTATTAATTAATACTTAGACGACGTAACCTTGAGAGGTATAGAAGTGATATAGACGAGTTGCCTGTCACCTGTAGTACTTTAGGGACTTATTGACCCGCTCAAAGTCAGAAGCGTCTGTTTACCAGGGGCTGGGCCACGCAGCGCTTTCGGCTGTTGCAAGTCCATCTGAGTAAGACCTCAAAGAAAACCGGCGTGAAGTGGAAGTGGTAGCCGCATCTGCAAACCTACGGGTGTGGCAAATGTCTACAGTCGGCGGTTATCACTCAACATCAGGTGAACCGCCAGCTCGCTTGCCACGTTCTCACATAAAAAAAATCTCTGTCACTGTAGCGGTCATGTGTGCCTTGTTACGAAGGCGGCCGTCGCGTAGGCGACGCGTCGACCACATTTAATTAGCCACTCGTCTGTCGGTTTATCGATACAAGGATTACCGGTGTTTCCGTCGCGTCCGCCGCGCCGACGAGTGGCGGCGATCGATCATCGTAACTCAATATCGATTAGCCCCTCGAACGCTCGTTCGGTGCGGGGAACTTGAGCTTTACACGCGAAATTAGGGTCACTGTCGCGTACTCTGCGACCTTTCCGAGTCAACTTCACAGAGGACGGTTATTTTGTGTAAAATTCCACGTGTAATTTTACCGACGTCCACTTCAAGGCGCGGGCGGTTGACGCAATGTCTGTTATTATTGTAATGTATGCAGTTATGGCGATTTTTCTCGCTTCGATACAATGTTGTTAAATAATCACTTTGCGAGTCTCGATACAATCTCGATATAATTCCAGATAATGTCGTAAACTGATCTAAAATACGTTATTACACTTAAGAGCGTTCAGCTTTTTTGTTACATTACACGTTTTCACAGCTCTGATGGGTTTCGTTTATATAATAAAGTAAAAGTAAAGTAACAGCCTATACATGTCCCACTGCTGGGCAAAGGCCTCCTCTATATAGAGGGTATCAGGGCATAGTCCACTACGCGGCCCCACTGCGGATTGGCGGACTTAACATATCTTTGAAATATATTTTTTTTGTTATTATTTCGAAAATATGCAGGTTTCCTCCCGATGTTTTCCTTCACCGCGGAGCACGTGATAAGGTTTATATAATGTAACGATAATTTTGAATGGTATGTAGAAAAGCTATTAAAAAAATAACATGTACCAAGAAATGTTTTCTTTTTCATATATTTTTGAATTATAACATATTCAATAAACAAAATTTCTACTATCTGAAATTTTGTTGATAAGGCGCTCTACACTAAAGACATAAGAATAGATGACACTTTACTTACTTGTTTTTAAGCAACAGTTTCGAGGATAATTCGATGATGAGGTACGTTCGATACTAACAAAGACAAAGATAGTGCAGTCTGCGATTTAAATGTGATCAAGCAACGATCATCGTCTTAGGTAAGAAAACCGAAGAACGTAACGTATAACGATTCTACGAAAATACAAATTAAATGCAAAGTATGATGAGATGACGCGGACAATGCACCAGCACCGATCATCAGAGCATGCGACATACGTACAACTCCATCGGCACGCGGCGTGCATCAAAGATGAACACAATTTGTCCGCCATTAGAGGTATCGGTGTACATCTAAATATCGTGAACGAAACTACTACGAACCGGTACCGACAAAAACTCCGGTCCGGTTCGACGTTAACGGCACTGTCATAGTTGCCGATAATTGCCAACGTTGCAAGCGTTTTGTTGTTAGTTTTACACTAATTAGACTGTTACGCGAAATAATGGGCTATCGAGACGGACACAAGAAATAAGTGACTTCTACACGAGTTACTTCTCGCTCTTTGTTTCGAACAGTGGTGGCGTGGAGGCTGGTCTGGGCTTGCGTTGTGAGATGTGTCACGAATACGATCCCAAGGGCGTGCACGAACGAGTTTTGCGTTTATCATTTCAGCCTGTTTTAGTCCAACGCAATGGATAGGCTCCTCCTCCATAGACTGCCACGAAGCACGATCCTGAGCCACCCGCATCTATCGACATGCCGCACATTTGCACAGGTTGTCACTGCATTTAGTAGGGGGTCGTCCTATACTTCAATGGCCACTACAGGGCTGCTAGTCCAGAACGTTTCTTCAGCATCGATTATCGGTTCTTCGAGCTTTATTTATATAGCTCCTCGGATTTTTAATACAGTCGGACATTTATACTCTATGTAAGACTACAGGACTAACTACAAAGTTAAAAACTCAACGATGGAAGTGGAATGTAAATAACAGTTGCAGCCGTCTCTGTCTGGTAGGTTAGATTAAAAAGGACGTGGGAGCTTACTTTTCAATATTTATTTATTTATTTGGTTCTTGTGTACGTGACTATTGCCT